CTCCCTACCTACCGTATTTCTCTCTCCCTCTCTATCCCTCTATCTACCTACTTACTTTTTAAAAAATTGCCTCTTCAAAACCTTGGTGCGTCGTATACTCCGGTGCGTCTTACACTCTGAAAAATAGGGTAGATATCTTAGATGCTTTTATTTCAATTTTCAATTCATCTAAATTAAAGTTCCTCAAAACTGCCTCAATATATAAATTTAACAGAAAAACTGATAGAATAGTACAAGTGAATCAAGTGTTTTGGAATGCCCCTTTCTTTTAGGTATTTCCGTAATTTTTCATATTCAGTGCAATGAACAGTTTTACTGTATGAAGGATAAATATACGTAATTTTGAAATTTACATGCATGTTCTGTGAAATCTAATTTTATTATTTTTCTAGTTTTATGTTAAACTTCTGCATTTAGCTCATTTGCTTCATCTCTGTTGCCCATAATTTTAGCTTTCTTTCTGGTTCAGCGATTTGGATAGTTTCTTCTGCTCCTGATTTATTTCCTTGTTTTCAGTTTTTTAATGTGTATATGCAACATGTTTCTGAACTGGTTTACTGTGCTCGTTTATTGATGTTTTACATTTCTTCCTTTCTCCTATCTAGTTGTTCTTCCATGGAATTAAGCAAATTGATATTGTTCCTTAATTTCAGCTGAACATAATTTTTTTCATATCATATTTTCTGCATATTCAAATTTGAATCTGAAACAGACTTTGGCTACAAATAGTTGTGGTCCAAACCGCAGTCTGCAGCAAAAGTAAAGAAATATGTTTTTCCTCATTGTTGGCTGTTTAAGATGTAATTAGAATAGAATAGAACAGAGTTGGAAGGGACCTTAGAGGTCTTCTAGTCCAATCCCCTGCTTAGGAAGGAAACCCTACACCACTTCAGACAAATGGTTATCTAATCTCTTCTGAAAAACTTCCAGTGTTGGAGCATTTACAACTTCTGGAGGCAAGCTGTTCCACTGATTAATTGTTCTAACTGTCAGAACATTTCTCCTTAGTACTAAGTTGCTTCTCTCCTTGATTAGTTTCCACCCATTGCTTCTTGTTCTACCCTTAGGTACTTTGGACAATAGCTTGACTCCCTCTTCTTTGTGGAATACTGCTATAATGTCACCCCTAGTCCTTCTTTTCATAAGATTAGACCTATCCAGTTCCAGCAAGCATTCTTTATATGTTTTATCCTCGAGTCCCCTAATTATCTTTGTTGCTCTTCTCTGCACTCTTTCTAGAGTCTCAACATCTTTTTTACATTGTGGCGACCAAAATTGGATGCAGTATTCCAAGTGTGGCCTTACCAAGGCATTATAAAGTGGTATTAGCCTTCATGCGGTCTTGATTCTATCCCTCTGTTTATACAGCCTAGAACTGTGTTGGCTTTTTTGGCAGCTGCAGCACACTGCTGGCTCATATTTAAGGATTGTCCACTAGGACTCCAAGATCCCTCAACAGTCACCACTATTGAACAAGGTACCACATATACTGTACCTCTGATTTTGTTTTTCTTGCTGAAATGTAGAACCTTACTTTTTTACCATTGAATTTCATTTTGTTGGATAGCGCCCAATGTTCAAGTCTGTCAAGATCCTTCTGTATCTAAAGCCTATCTTGTGGAATTGGCTATTCCTGCCAGCTTGGTGTTGTCTGCAAATTTGATGCGTTCCCCATCTATCCCCTCATCCACTGATAAATATATTGAAAAGTACTAGGCCTAAAACAGAGCCTTGGGGTACCGCACTGCATACCTCCCTCCATGTAGATGCAGTTCCATTGAGGACTACATGTTGAGTGTGGTTGGTCAGCCAGTTATGAATCCATCTGGTTTGGTTGAATTGGTTTAGTTGTAGTACAATCCAGTTTGAGATGTCATATATTCAAGTAACCTTCATCAATTTTGCTGTTGGACTCTACAATGAATACTATATATGTTTTGGTACTTGATGTATCATTTCATGAATGTCAGCACAGAACTATTTGATTTGTTCTTCAAATGTATTTGTTGTTCCTGCATAAATTTTGGAAATTGTGACATTTGGTTGTATATCTCAGACAAAACAACCTGTGACCAATTGGGTCATTGTCTTAGAGATATTTCCTTACTTAAACAGACAAACAGAGTGATTGCTGCTGGTTTGGTTTTAAAATCAAAGGAAATGAAACCCATCATTTTATGAAAGAAGAAAGATCTGTAGCAAGACAAATATAGATGCTTCTTGTTTAACAAAGGATGCTTTTGATGACAACAATTGTGATTGATCTGCCACATTCAGCTGACTATGTCGGAATACTGGTTTTTCCAGATAAATCATTCTCCATGGTTTGTTCCCTCGCTTTATATATAGTGACAGCAAAACATGATTGTGTTCAGAACTGTGTCCACTGAAGAGGAACATCTTCACCTTCTGATGAATTGAGTGTAATTGTTGGAATCATGACAATGTCACTTTTTGCATGCATCAGGGTTTATCTTTGCTACAATGACATTGCTGTGGAGTTCTTCCACAATCATCCCATTTCAAACTTGGAAGATTCCTTATTAAGATTCATTATTAAAATGGCAAGAGATTCTATCTTCCATGCTGTGGAAAATGAGTGGCATTAGCTCCTTCACTCAGAGCATTAAAGGAACAATATTATTTCATCATTCCAGGGAAGCAGCTAATTCATGGGTGTCAAACTCATGTCATCATGATGGCGTCATGTGACTTAGTGGGACTTTTCCCCCTTTTGCTAAACGGGGCTTGGGTGTGGCCAGTCTGTGACACATTCGACCCTTGGGCCAAGAGTTTGACAGCCCTGAGCTAATGCATGTGGATGATTTTTATCCTCATTTCATTGATGGGAACCATGATAGAGTTCTCTGAAAACAGTTCTACAGGATTGCCAAATGTGGTAGGTGAAATTCACACATTCTTCCATACTTTTTGCTGACAGAAAAATATCTATTTAATCATTTTGATTTTTCTGAATTATGTCTTTTCCAACATCCAGTAAGAAATCTGAATATCTTCCTTTTCCCTGATTCTACCATGTTTCCTTTCAGTTGAAACTTGGCAACACTTATCCATAAGTATGATTTTTTTAATGCCTGAAATGTCCACATCAACACCATTTCCTCATTCTACAACTGATAAAGGTTGATGAAAATAGCAACAGCAGATGGTTAACATTCTCCCAAAGTCCTTTTTCGGTATGGCTTCAAAGGTCTCCCTCTTAACCATGAAGCTTCCATCCCAAAGAAGAAGTCTCACATGTTGAAGCAAATTTTCAGTATTGGAGTTTTCTTCTGCCAATCCACCTTCATTCCCATCTCCTATTAGTCCAAGTGTAGAATCTTGGAATATCCACACAATACAGTATTTTTGTAAAAGTGTGGTCCTTCTCCAATATCATTATTTTGCATACCGGCATTATCTTGAAAGAATATTGATTCTGTTTTGGAAGGTGCACTTGAAGATGAACAGTGGCTGGTTCCCTCTTGTAAATTCGAAATCCAAATATTGATGCAACAGCTTCAGAGGATCCACTAAATCTGCCTATCGAGTACTGTGTGATTTCATTTTCTCTGCTCAGTGCAAACATTGCCTGATCACTCCCTGTGTGGTATACTTGATGACATATTTGATGGATTTGACTGATGAACATATTTCTACATTGAGATGAAAAGGGACATCTTCAATAGTTGTAAATTATAAGGTACCACCCATTGAGAAGGGTAGTTCAACCTTGTCATCCTACTTGATGTCCTTCAAATCCTCCCATTTCTGAAGAGTGTCTGCTGCAGACAGGATATGAATCATCACCACACCTTGTATGCTCATTGAATGCTTTGGGATACCTCTTACTGCATATACTATGTTTTCAACATGCTGAATTTCTGCTGGACTATTAATCATAACACTGGATAGAAAAAAAGAGGATGGATAAATATTTGCTAGAATTTTCCAATATATTTGTTAGAGTGAGAGTAGTAAGGTTTAGTCTGGCCAGATTCTATATATTGTATAAGCAAAAAAAGAACTGAACTCTGGCTGAATTGTTCTATGTAAGGGGGGGTCCCAACCCCCGGGCTGTGGCCCACTATCGGGCTGTGACCTGTTTGGAACTGGCTGCATGAGTGGTTAGGTATGCACACAAATGTGTGTGCCAGCTCATCACTTGTGCAATCCAGTTCCCTTCTCCTCCCTCATCCTGCTGCCAAGCCATAAAGGTTGGAGACTGCTGTTCAACATCATTCTTGGGCTTAGTTTGATATATGTGATGAGTCAATTCTCCACTACTGGGTGAGGGGGAGAGGGGGGATTGCAAGACTGCCTGAGAAACTGTCAAAAAGGGATATCATGTGACTTGCAACAGCAGCCAGTGGCACGGAAGAAACCACAACTTCCCCAAATTTCATTTACTCGGGAGTCATGGATTCTAGATTTTGAACACATGCTGTAATTTAGCCCATTTGAGGTACCT